GTGGCCTCTGTCAGGTTTCTAGTAGGCATGATATTCACCCGTTGACAACATTGCGTTTCGGCGGTGATTGTTTCAGCAGTTTTACTAGTCGGTGCTATCATGCTCGAAGTATACTGTACGTGCCGGAAAACCCCATTGGTGTGTGTGAAAGCTGCACTACTATAAAGACGAGCAGTACTTCACTTCACCGCTCACAAGCGGCGACACCGCCTCGCAACCCAAGAGCACCATGTGATTCTGGGAGAGATACAACGCACGTTTGGGAAGCCTTGTACCAGTGCGTTGGTGGCGCAATAAGTATAACCACTGGCAGCTGTCACCGAGGGCCACGAAGTCGTGGGTTTGATTCCCGGTAACGGAACTTTTGCCGTCAAATTTTTCCTCAACACCCGTTTTTTGTATTTTATTAATGTCATATCCATGACGGAAACGCATAAGTGAACTCTAAGTCGGCCCTTGTAATACACACTTTCGTGGTAAAACAGAAGAAAGAAAACATTTATTCAGCGTTTCAATTATGGACTGGTCTTTTTCAGGAATGGATTAGGGCAGTTCAGGCAGTAAAACTATACACGTTTGCTCACAGAGTGGTGTGAGCAAAGAAGTCTATTGCAATAACAAGATAAGGACAATTGAACCAGCCAAAAAAAACATAAAGTATGTTCACTTGCCGTCAGATATATGCGGTTTTCAATGCGGTTTAAGAAGGATGACGGAACACAATCAATAAATTTGAGGAAGGGACTGCTTGACTGTTTTCAATTCTTCTTCTTCTTCTTCTTCTTCTTCTTCTTCTTCTTCTTCTTCTTCTTCTTCTTCTTCTTCTTCTTCTTCTTCTTCTTCTTCTTCTTCTTCTTCTTCTTCTTCTTCTTCTTCTTCTTCTTCTTCTTCTTCTTCTTCTTCTTATTCTTTTTCTTTTTCTTCTCCTTCTTCTTCTTATTCTTCTTCAAGCACGCGCGAGCTCGGCGCCGATCTTCCTCGTTTTCATCGCGCCAAGGCGCAGGAAGCACACGAAACGTCGTCTGCTATCGCTCTTGTCAAAAAACGATAGCGAAAACACCGTAGTATAGCGCACTAACAGAAGGAAAAGTGGGATAGGCGTGACCATATTGTAGTGTACAAAAGTTTTAAAAGTTGACAAAGTTGAGCTTTATCCTAAGGCAACTGGAAGGCGAAAGGCATATTTTTATTTTTAGCGAAATATTCATTTCTGCTTTTATAGTATAAGTTTTTCATATTGAACCATGCAGCAGATATGCACTGTTTGCAAAGCTGGGCTTTTATCATTAGGTGATATGTAATTGAAGAATATAAGCCATTAATAATAAAAATTCAATCCAAAAAGTTGAGGTCAATGACCTACTAAATATAATAATGAAGAAAAGCGGGGAAGCGTGTGAAATGCAAAGTACATGATGAGACAGTAATTATCAATGTGACAGCTTTAACTACTTAGAGGGTTATTAAAATATAGAGCGGTAAAAATGTAGAGGGGTAAAATGCGTAACCATTGAAGGAAAAAGCCTGCTGCACTGTTGGTAATGTATTAAGTTATACAATCGGGGACCCGACTTCCCGTAAGACATGAGGAGCAGCAGTGTGTGAGAAGCACGCACCCGTAAGTGGGGAAGCGTGTCAAATGAAAAGTACATGAGGGTTATAGACAGTTATTATAAACGTGATAACTTCATTATTTAGAGGGGTAAAATATAGAGCGGTACAATGTATAGGGGTAAACCGTGTAACAATTTAAGACCAAAAGTCTGCTGAACAATTGGTAATGCATTCAGGTTTACAATCGGGAACCCCACTTCTCGTAAGACAGGACGGGCAGCAGTGTGCGAGAAGCACGTAAATGCCTAGACGTTCCCAAACTATTCAACTGTTCCTCGCCCCACCCCCTGAAGCTTTCTGCACCTCACACAGCGATGTACTCCGTCAAAGTTCAGTCTCCAAGTACGCGTTCTTGTGACGGCATACGATGCCCTCGTGTGAAGTCATGAAGACTTCAGAATGATGTCACGCGTTTCTGCAATTTATGACATTGTTATGGCATTACATGGTGGTACTATGCCATGACGTTCCCAGTGACGTAAATCACGTGGGTGTTTCTACCACATCATTCGCCAGCCGTGTTTCGCTCAAGGGGCCTGCTGAATAAGGCACTTAAACGTTCCTCGTTCATGTTTAAATAACTTCAATTATCACTACCACATTGCCATGTATTACGAAACAAACCCGAAAACTGTTAACCATTACTCCATGAACGCATGTGGTGGTTGAGCGTTTTGGACACCCTTTTGGTCCTGAGTTTTTTTTTTTTTAACGGGGAGATATTTTTGTTTCTTATTGATATGGAGTTACTGCAAGTTGAAGAACGCGAAAATATTTTTTTCTTGGCATCCCATCGGTGTACGTAGTGGTTGTAAAGTGAAATTTGGTGAATTTATATACATCTATTTATTTAACCTGTTAGTGCAAGTTATCGTTGTGAAACTAACATATAGCAACCACGTATTAGTTACAGCGCCTAAACTGTTTAGTAAGAAGTCTTTGCGCTCGTGATGCACAGCTCCTTAATGCATTTGAATGGCTACCATTTAAATATTGAACAGTTTGGAAGATCCAACTTTATAAAAAATTGCCATACTCTGCTTTGCGGAGCCAGTATTAATTTCGCCCATACTTCTAAGGGCAAGCTGATTGAACTACACCTTATCATCGTCTTCTTCTAGCTCCATCACGCACCATTATTATATTTATTAAAACAAATTAAAAACTTTTACATACTATACTGCTATTACACACCCGTTACATATAATCTAAGTGATGTGGGCAGGTTTATCGACCAGAATAACAAGAAATTGGGAGCTTTTACAAGAGCTACACATCTGGATAAGCCTAAATGCATTCAGAGGTCTGGCAATAACTGCGCCCTAGTGTCCTATGTTTGGGAGATGAATATTGTTCACCACTGCGTGCGATACGTTAGTGTTAACAAAGACCCGCTCTGTAAATAGCAAGTTAGACGTCTCAGAAGTAACGTCAAAAAATACGATAGCTATTGATATATCAGTCAACCAGTTAGGTGTCATTTATTATTTCGTTGTGGCGAGTGTCATAGTTATCGCACTTTGCCATTTTGTTTTCTACTTTGCAGAGTTCCAAAGAAGACGATGACGAAAATAATACTACTTATGCTTGCGCAGGTGTATTTAGAATAGTTCGGATATCTTTTTCAATTTCTGACTTAATTGTGTCACATTTGGCAGCAAAGTTGATTCATGTTATTTTTATAGAACGCTAGAGTCGAAAGGGTTAAACATTTTTCTTTGTCCAGTCGACAGTTTGTTCATACACTACACACCTTTTGATTATGTCACAGTCACATGGATCACGCCAGCTCGACTCTACGTCCCCGCTTCATGCTGCGAACGTTGGGGCGTTGGTCTCCTAAATACAATTCAGTATGCCACATTAACTTTTGTTCTTTCAAAACCTAACAAATTACGCAAAGAATTTTCTTAAGAGAACATGCTTGAAACCAGGACCGTACGTCGCAGGTGAAAAATGTGTCCTTGTTCAACGAAGATTCAACTTACAACGCGCGGTTGATGAGCGTGATTTTTACAGTACCACTTGTGGTATATACAGTCCTCTACATACATTTACGTCTTAGTACATTCGCTCCTTATTAAAGATGATAGGCCTTCTTGGGGACTTTTGACGCAAAAATTTTGGTCTGTCTGTCTGTCTGTCTGTCTGTCTGTCTGTCTGTCTGTCTGTCTGTCTGTCTGTCTGTCTGTCTGTCTGTCTGTCTGACTGTCTATCTGTCTTTCTGTACATTTGTCTGTTTGTCCACCGTTAATGGTACCATAAACGCCACCAAAGTGACCAAACATTACTCCAAACGGCCGACCCTATCCGCAGCGCCCACCGATATTGCTCAAGGTTGAGCGTTCATATTTCTTAGTTTTTCGAAAAACTCTTTTTAGCATTTAGGGGCAGTCCAAACTGGAGCACCCCAGATACCTGTTTAATAATTTGGCGCATGCCCCGCCGTGGTGGTCTAGTGCCTAAGGTACTCGGCTGCTGACCCACAGGTCGTGGGATCGAATCCCGGCTGCGGCGGCTGCATTTCCGATGGAGGCGGAAATGTTGTAGGCCGGTGTGCTCAGATTTGGGTGCACGTTAAAGAACCCCAGTGGTCGAAATTTTTGAGCCCTCCACTACGGCGTCTCTCATAATCATATGGGGGTTTTGGGACGTTAAGCCCCACGTATAAATTAGTATTTTGGGGCATGGATATCTCGAATAAAAGGCTGGTTAGGATTTATGCTAAGCGGAGCTAACCTTACTATTTAGTAAACGACTTCAAGTTTATGTTAAAGATAAACGGCTATTTTTCGGGCTAGTTGTTTGAAGTTTGTGTTAAAAGGGTTTGCAGCGAGAGTCCTGGAAGTAAAGCGTACGGAAGGCGAAGGACGGTAGGCTTCAAGCTTATAACTGCAGAGTGTTCCCCCACTGCCATCTAAAGAAAGACTGTTATTCTTGTGTGGTTAACTATACCTGTATAATGTGCTCTCTCACTCCGACAATTTACACATTTTTTCCCAGTGAACAGAGCTCCCTACAACGCGCAAGTAGAAGAAAAAATAAAAGAAAAAATTGAGCCACGATATTGAACTTCTTAGAAACGCTGATAAATGCTTATCTGCAGAATTAAAACCATTCGGTGTATTAATAAATTACACTTGGTTGCTGTAGCTATCACCAAAAACTATTCTTGAATTCCGTCGCCATTCGGGCAAAGTAAACTGCGGAGTATTTTTTCCGCGTTTTCTTTTTCTCCGATCATATAGAGGCTCATACGCGCCTGGAGCCATCGTGCCAACAGGGATCGCCAGAGGTGACGACGAAGTAGCACGGACTGCACCCGGCACGTGCCGCCACTCGCAGCTCGAATCGTCCAGCAGTGCAGGTTCTCGGATTGCTGCAGCATGGCCACTGGTGGTCGTTTGCCCGCGCTGGAGCGCATCTCCAAGGAGTTCATAGACATCGACCGAGCTCCACCAGCCAACTGCAAGGCGGCTCCGGTGAACCCCAGTGACATGTTCAAGTGGGAGGCCACCATCCAGGGTCCGAGGGGAAGTGCGTTCGAAGGTGGCACCTTCAAGCTTGACATCACGTTCCCGGCCGACTATCCATTTCGGCCGCCTCAGGTGACAGTTATTTACTCTAACTGCTTGAGTAACCGCCATCATGGTCTCTAGCTTATTTGACCAGGGCCTATCGCATGTTTGTAAATGGTGTTAGGCGCCGTCGACATACTGAGGTGGTCGTATAGGCGTCACGGCACACGGTCTCTATCGAGCCCAAAGCTCTCCACCGCCAGTTATCTTCATGTGACTGCCGGCACAACAGCTGCAATGCTGCCTCTGAGCAGAGCACGTCGGGGAGACGGCTCCTTGCCGACGCACTGTGCTCGTCGGCAGCATTGCAGCTGCTGTGTGGAAAGCGCGTTAGTATGTCGATGGACGCCTATCACCATTCACAAACATGACATAACCCTATAACACGCGCATCGAGAAGAACAATTAAAAAAAGAGAAACGTGGTAAAGGCTGCTGAAGACACTGCGTGGGTCTTTTTCAACCTTCATTTGTCACTCTGTGAGCTGGTGTTGCCTAAGCGGTTTTTAGCGATGCCATAACACAGGACCATGATGCAACCGTTTGGCTCTTATTTGGCGGTTACATTTTAAGCGCTCAGCACTTTAGAGACCCGGCTTCTCATTCATCTGTAGATCTCGTGTGGTGGCTACACGCGAATAATTAACTGGCCGGTGCAGGCTTAAAGCTAAGCTGTTTATTCTCAAAGCTGCTTTGTTATAAAAGAAGTAGTTCTAAAATAAAGTACATTGATTTTTACGCGTGCAGGGTGTTTCACGTAAATGAAACCTATTACTTTTGAAAAAAAGGGTAACTATAACTGAATGAAACCATCATTACGTTGCACTCATTACAGTATCTTTTTATTGTGCCTCATAAATTTATAAACGAGAATAAATTATGGAAATTATTCTTTTTAATGCTAAGTGTGTTTTTTTTCTTTTAGAGGGCATTTCAGAACAACTGATCCTATTGTTTGTGGCAACATACATTTTGCGTGCTGATTCAAGTTTCTCGACATTTAAAAAAAGCATGCGACATATGAAATAGGACCACGTTATTGCTCTCATGCGCTGAATCACTGCAGCGCTCTGATTTGAGCTCCAACCGAAGCAAGCGGTGCCATAAGACAGTCAACTTATCGCTAATCAGTGACAACTGCGCTTTCTTGCCGTTGGCACCTGTTATTAATACTGATGGACCGACAAGCCATGGCCAGGCCACTCATTTCGTCATGGTCCGCCCAATGGTTGCTTCGCTTGAAGGACGTTTGAGAGCGCTGCAGTACAGTAGTACACGAGCAATGACACGTGGTTTTATTTCCTACATCGCGGGCGTTGTTTCTTGATCCAAGTTAACTAATTAAGCAAAGGACAAAATTATCCCAACGAGCACCGCATGATAGAGGAGCACATGCACTTTATTTTGCGGTGGTTAAGTAACTTTTGTTTATCATGAAGGTGTTTTATTCTCGGGTCCACCGAGGATCCGTGATGTACTTACGTCACCCATATGACGTTGTGAAACATTTACCAACAGATTGCAATAAAAAAACGAGAAGGAAAGGTTCCGGAGCGGCGGGTTGAGCCAGCGGCCTCACGTTCCTCAGTGTCCGCCGCTAACCATTACACTACAGAGCGACCCTCCTCTAACTTGGTGCTGAACTTCCCCAGCTATGGCGGTCCTGACAGCTCAGAAACTTAACCTTGTTTTAGTAATCAGTAGCGAGACGACACGACGGGCGGGTGTTGGGATCGCCTGCTCTAAAGGCCGTTGGGCCGCCCTACTTCGCACGTCGCTATGCACGCGCCTCCACATGGCGTGGTCAAAGTACGTATAGATGTTTTCTAGCGTTGTGGCTCACTCGCGCGCTCGCTTATCTCGGGAATCAGGTGCTTCGTACTTCTTGTGCTTCTAAGACAGTCTGCTTTGAAGGTATAGTAGTTAGAGAGAACGTGGACGTCATTTCACTCGCTGCCATGTTCACGAAAGGAACTCGATGCTCACACATGATGCCATTGTTGTGGCAGTTGCTGTTTCGCACTTGTCATGTGTGTGCTCATTTCGTGCGTGCGCTCTACTTGGTGTGCGCCTCAAGTTTCGAGTTGCTTGCCGTTCTTCGCGTGACATTGCAATTTGTTACGGCAGCATTCATTGCATCTCCCGTGTGGTGAAAGAATGCACAAGGAGTGATCAACTACATCTGCGATGAAACGTTTCACTTCCGTGTTATCATAATCATCATCAGCCTGACTACATCCACTGCATGACAAAGGCCTCCCCCATGATAAACCAGTCAACTCCGTCCTGTGCTTGCTGCTGCCACTTTATAGGCGCAATCTTTTTAATCTCATCTGCCCACCTAACTTTCTGTCTCCCCCTAACCCGCTTGTCTTCTCTAGGAATAAGTTACCCCTTAATGACCAGTGGTTATCCTGTCTACGTGCTCCATGCCCGGCCCATGTCCATTTCCTCTTCTTGATTTCAGCTATGATATCCTTAACCCCCGTTTGTTCTCTAATCTCTGTTAACTTCTTGTCCTCTTGCTGCGTTGTTCCTCAAATTTAAGCTGAACCCTCTTTGTAAGTCTTCCGGGGTTTCTCCTCCGTAGCTAAGTACAGCAAGATACAGCTGTTAATTACCTTCCTCTTGAGCCTATAGTGGCAATCTACCTGTCAATATTTGAGAGTGCTCTCCAAATATGCTCCACCCATTCCTACTCTTCTAGGTTACTTCAATCTTGAGGTTCAGCTCCGTGGTTATTAGGGTCCCGAGACTATTCTTTTACAACTTCAAGGGTGCTATTACCTATCTCGAAGCAGCTGCTCTCTTCCGAGGTGGTTGTTACATTACTTTCTCTTTCTGCAGATCTTCTTAAGACTCTCCTTTCTGCTCTCCTTGTCTAACTCCGTGATCATGAGTTCCAATTTGTCCCCTGAGTTCCTCAGCAACGGAATGTGATCAGCGAAGCGCAGGTTATATGGTGCTTCCCATTAAATCTTATCCCTAACTCTTCCCATTATAGAAGCAGCGATGGCGTAGTGGTTAGGGTGTCAACCTCGCGTGCAAGACGTGGTTCCCATCCTGGTGCTGTGCAGTTTCCAACCACATTTAAAAATATCTGCGCCATGATGGAATGGAATCAAGAATCTAGGGGTGCGGCCTCAATGGTGACCACCGCCTGTAACGCACTCCCTCACCAGAGAAAGATTGGCCACACTTACTGGTACAGTATCTGGCCGCTACCTCCCACATGCACACGTCAATTTCGTGTTATACCAATTTTTAAAAATTGAATTCAACCACGTTTTTTAAATACTTGGTTCTAGTTACGTGATACTAATCAGGCTGTCATTAACCTGATTAGTATCTGTGCTATGCCTAAATGATGCCGGCGTATGTAAATATTTTTTTGCTGGTTCAAAGTATTAATGAGTAAAATGTCGCTTCAACGGTCACATACAAGCGTGCACTTTAGCTCTCCCAGGGATTTTTGTGTGACGTAAGCAAGTAGCATATGTTTGAGAGCATTACACATTTTCATGGTTTCTCATGGTGCGTAATGAACGGTACTACAATCTGCCTTGATGTCTAAGCGCTAGTACTTCACCGAAGTTTTCGATGCTCGCTTTCTTTTAAGGTCGATTCTTTTTTCAATTCAAGATTAGATTTGCACGTTACGCTAAATTCGGCGTTTTCGTCCATATTTGTTCTCGAGAACGTTAGTTTTTTGCTTATTCTGCATTGCAGGTCAAGTTCAAAAGCAAGATCAACCACCCCAACATCGATTGGGACGGTAACATTTGCCTCAACATGCTCACATTGATTTGGACTCTCGCTCAGTCCATTTCCAAGCTTCTCACTGCCATTTGCTGGCTGATGAGCAACCCGAGCGTCACCGACCCCCGCGCGACCAACGGGGCCTCCGGCTACCGGAAGACTCGGGGCCACTACAAGAACACGGCGCGTGAGTGGACCAAGAAGCACGGCTTCAGGAAATGACCACTGCTATCCACACGAGCCATGCCAGCTGCAGCATGCAAACGCCTCTTATGCTGCCTAGCTTGAGGACCCTTCAGCTTAAAACACATTCAGCTGTCCAAAAAGCTTTCACTGTGGGCATGTGCTGTTCTTTTTTTTAAATTTTTTTTCTTGTACGTGGATAGCCCCAAAGGTGCATTTTCAAGCTAATAAAACAAAGGTCCACTTTCGCGCGCGGCTAACTTTGACACCTTATTTATTGCTGATGTCGCAGTTGTGTGCGAAGCAATCTGCTTTCATGATGAGAATTTTCGCTCCTTCGTATACAGCGTGATTAGTTAAGACCTCGCTTCGCGGAAATTCCGGCGTCAGCGTCGGTTTCGTTGTTAGTGAAAAACATCTTGTCAATGACAAAAAAAATCGAAATCTGCAATTGAAAAGTGGGGGACTTTTAAGCATGGCCTTTAAGAGCTGGTTGAACGCGATAGCTATATTCTGTTCCTTGTGCGTACTGAGAACAAAATGACTTGTGTCAGTGCAGGTTTCGCATACGGCTGCGTTTTGTGTAATGAGTAGCAGCTTGGTAACGAGCTAGTAAGCAGTGCAATTAACATCTTATATATGCAAAATATTCAAAATGAAGCAAACCAAAATATACATTTTACATATAGAATACCCAGGAACAGTACGAAAATAATTAAGTGTTGTAGGAAAAGTTTCCATTCACATAGACAAAGAAAATCGGAATCAAGGTGCTGCTTCGTTGGTCTTGCCATGCGGCGAAGCATTGCATGGTCTTACAGAGAAAGCTGTTATGAGATCACAATACGGGTCACGCGCAGTGCCGTAGTTGTCCGCAACCGCCGCCGCCGGTGTCTGTAACTACTGCTGCACAAAATAAGGAAGGAAACTCAAATGAAAAACACCAAATACTTGTGGTGTTATAGTGAGATTTGAACCCGGGTCCACTGCGTGTCAGTAAGGCATGCCAGAGCTTGTGATTCGTACACAAATTTTCTTTAAGCAGGCTTGATCTCAGAAGAAATATTGCGTTATTATGAGCAATAAAGCGTTTTAGAACGGCAAAAAAAAAACGGCGTCACATAATGCGAATAGTGTAAGGAGTGGGTCGTCCATTACTCCAACACATTACAATAGCTTGTTCTTCATCCCCTGCGGCACATACCCACTTCAGGCGCAATTCTTCATCGTCGTCAGCTACTGAATGAATCACAAAATTCGTTACAGATGTTTAGCGGATACCACCGGTCTCCGAAAATTGACGAAGTGTAGCATACTAAATGCCGGCCTAATATGCTGAAATTATGAATATTTTGGCGTAGTAAATACCAAGCAATGGTGCTTCTAGCATTTACACAAAGATTGTTAGAAAAGGATATGAAAGGCCTTTGCTGGGACTGCGCTGTGCTTCCGCGCAGGCCAGGAGGTGTTTTTGTTTGTGACACAAGTGAACTCGTACAAATTTCTCAGTAAATTTTTGTTTTTGTTTACGTTGAGAGCCTGAATGTGTTCAAGTATAGTATGAATTCCCGTGTTGTGAATAATCCCTCTGTACATAAGATGTCCAGTGCACTTCGCTATTTTGTCTAGCGTCAACTCTCTCTACGAGCCACCTCACTTCGCATTAGTTGGCGTCCAACATATGAATCCAATCATATTTCTCTGCATTTCGCACCCTGTAATAAAAAAAAAAAAACTATCGCACGCAGTTCTGAAACGTTTGATCTGCTTCGCCGTCTAAGCCGAGATGTCCTCTGGTGGCCTTCTTGTCATGAGAAAAAGCTCTGCTGCCAGCGCCAGCACATCGCACCCTATAGCTACGTATGGACCTCGCACGTAACCACAGTGCCCAAAGGTCAGCAGCTACACACATGGTGCTGAGGAGACAACTTGAGGTACACACTTGCTTCGGAGGAGACAACTTGAGGCCGTAAATAAAACAAACTCATTAATGGCTGCATATGTGTCAGGCTGACGCAAAACATCGTCGCCATCAAACTTGAAGCGAAGGTGCTGTCATCATTGGACTCTTTAGGCTCGTCTTCACTCAATTCAGATGCGGTTGCAAGACAGTTTTGAGTGGCCCGATTTTTTTTTTTTGCAGCACAAATGCGCACTCATACGCGCGTGACCACGGCTACGTAAGAGCCACTAGTGACACTAGTTGCGGCTCTCTGTCGGATACAACAATAGAAGCGAAACCAAAGCAGCTGGAAACTGACTGAAAAGTTCACCTCCACTCTTCAGACACACAAAAGACCTTCGGAAATACTTTTTGTGGAATAAATTTTCCCTGACTCCTAGGAAGAGCTCACCGATGACTAGCTGGCATAAATTTCTGGCAAATATTACTGCTCTACACTGTCATATTGCGAAGCTTGCACCTTAGCTTGACAGTTGACTTGCAAAAGTGCTGTTGATTAGAGAACTTTGATGTTACTGTTGCATAATGACGACGGGCACAGACTTCTGTCCAGTTCGCCTGTCAGGTGCATTTCAATTTGCACGCACATTGGTTCGCGCAAAGGTCCGCTGAAAAAACTATGCTGCCGAAACCGGCAAATTCAAAATTATCCTGAATGTTCAGTGGCTGGAATAGGCAATAGAAAGTTCTGGGGGCACGAAAAAGGTATTCAATATTCCCAAATTGACGATGTAGGCGTCAATTACCGGTGATCGATTTGACCAGGCGTGGTAGCAAAAGTGTTAAGAGAAAAGGTGCAGTAACGTGTGTGGCTTTCGCAGTGAATGACTCACTTTAAACAATGAATTCATGATAATCGCACGTTATGACGGCAGATTGTAATAACCGCTTGTACCACGGTTTATTACGGTGATATTACATATTGCCTAGTGAAGCATGCATACAGGACGCATGTGTTTATAAAGGATGCATCTTACTTTCGCTTGCACTTCCAAGCAAAGAAACTTATCTTCACTGTAGTCCCAAAAAGTCGTGTGACTAAATGGTAGAATCCTTGCTTGCCCCGAAAACTACCTGGTGTCAAACCTCACTCAGAACCACAAGTTTTATTGACTATTATATTTGCATCTTTCTCGATTTCTCGGTCATGCGCAAGATGATGATTTTTCACTCACATCCGCCGACCCTACTGCCGAGACCGACCCCAGCATTTTTTCGAAAGGAAATCTTTAAGGCTATCTGTTAAAGAAAATTGGCAGATCCCTTCTTAGGAATAGATATTATTCGAAGCAAGCGGAGGGAAGATTCTTTTGTTGTAATTTTATAATTGAAAAAAAAAAGAACGTTATCAAATGACGCAAAAGATATGTACAAATGTACGCAGAGACATTTGTTGAATAGTTGTATATGTTTTCTACAGCCAGTTGTTTACATTTGCGTGAAGATGCCAGCAGTAACATGAGTAATACCAGCACCAGAAGCAGTAAGCTGATCGGTAGCGCTCGTGCTTGCGAGCTTGTAGCCCTGGATAGTTGTACATAAACCAACTTCTATTGGAAGGCTCTCAACTATTAACGACGTCAACGTTAACCAGACGTGACTCGCTACTATAGGAGTACATGTGTAAAGTATGTTTGGCAGAACTGCTACCACAGTTGATGTTTCATCAACATTATAAGCTTGCATTAGTGTTTTTTCCCCCAGCAGTTTCAACACCAGAAGTGGTTTCGTGGTAGAAGACTGGATTGCTACGCAGTATGTTGGCTTCGAACCCTGCTGTGACCCTGATAGTCATAGTTTGCATTTGTCGAGTCAACGCTTCTGATGCCAGTTTTTCTTACCGCTCTCGCATTTACATTACCACGTCTGTTTTCGCCGTTCCTGTGCAAGTAAAAACTGTATCACTCATGGCAAATACCTGCAGGCCTTGGCCCGCAATATATAGGTATATGCCACAGGATTTTAGAGAGAAAAGTTTCACGACGTACGCGGCAGAATTTTCATATTATTCATGTCATGACCTGCATACATATTCATGAAACCTTCTTACCCATTTATAACAATTTCTATCTACCCCAAGCTGAGAAAGCAACGAGGAGCACCCAGACGTAAGCGACCAGATAGATAGACAGATACGTTGATAGAAAGGCTCAAAGTACCAGCAGTTCGCTAGGAAATGCTTCACTAATAATCATCAAACTCTTTGGCACAAGTCAGAATGAAACTCAAACTATCTGCGTGGCCACCAGATTTTTTATCACACACCCACATTTTCACTGCAACAACTGTTATGAGAACACAACTAGGGCTGTTTTGGGCACCGTTTAGTTGTCCGCCGCCGGCTGTGTCCGAAACCGCTATAGCACAAAATGAGAAAAGTTCAACGAAATAAGCAAAAATATTCAGGGTAGAACTGGGTTTGAACGTTGGTCTGCAACTGTGGGAGCCCAGTGTTCTATCAAAGAGACCCAACTGCATGTGCTCAGAACACTTTCACAAAAAGAGCTTATATCAGCGTAAAGTTGGAAAGGGACCACATTGACATGTAAGAAAGAAGTGCCAATTTAAGGGCTCGCTTTTCTTTGTTAGACACAATAATAATGCGAACTAACACACAATGACGCCGAGGGAAGTATAAGAGATGGTATTAAAAGTAACTGTAATGTAAATGTGAAGAAAGTGGATGAAAAAAGAACTTGCCGCCGGCAGGCACCAAGCCTGTAACTTTCGAATAACGCGTTCGATACTCTACCAGCGGGCTACGATGGCGGTCATCGCTTCATCTACTTTATAGGGTGTATATGAGAATTTAAGCGCAGAAGCGTCAGTCAGCGCCGCCAGCGATTACGACGAGTGTCCAACCCCTATATTTGCAGTGAAAGCTCTTATGAGATCAAGACAGGGGTCAGATCTGGTGGTTCCGCCACCGCTGCCGGTGTCTGTAACCACTATCCCACGGAATAACAGCAAAAACTAACCAAATAAAAACCCCGAGGACAAAATGAGAATAAAACCTGGTCTTGTGCGTGACAGGCGAATACTATACCCTAGAGCTGCACCGGTGCCGAAAGCTCCG